CCCCTCAATACCCAGCAGAAACTATTTTGCCCTTATTTCTAATTTTGTTGTAGAGAGAGTATAAGCAATAATAGGAAAGAACAAGGGTTTTTACTGGTTGAGATAAGGATAGCTATACAGGGAGTTGACTCACATTGATTTCCTGTGCGTGTGTGTTACCTTCTAGGTTAATTCTTTTTGATCTAACCTTTTCTCTAGTTCCTGGTCCCCTTTTCCTATTGGCCTCAGTTGCTTTTAAGGTATCTGCTTTAGTTTCTCTGCTTTAATGGCAACAAATGCTAGCTAATTTTTTAGGTGTCTTACCTATCCTCACCCCTCCCTTGTGTGCTCTCGCTTTTATCATGTGCTCAAAGTCCAATCCCCTTGTTGTGTTTGCCCTTGATCTAATGTCCACATATGAGGGAGAACATACGATTTTTGGTCTTTTGGGCCAGGCTAACCTCACTGTTTGCTTTTTTTATCCAACCTAAAGTGTGAACTGGAAGGCACAGACACATCTTTTTCTCAATGCTTAGTACTTAGCACTTAATAAAACTTAGTTGCTTCAATAAGTGAATAAAGTAGTTTATTAAAAAAAGACCTTTGTCCCCAGAATTAAGGATTTTTATTCAGCAAACAATATGAATAGAAATCTTTATGTGATGCTCAATTTAATTTATCATATATAGCTTTTAAGTTATTGTGTGGTTGACATTTGCTGTCTGGGAAAATATATCTTACTTTGCCTTTCTTAACTTCTTAACTACTAAAAGAGTAGAAAATAAGCCTTGATTTAATTAACAATATGGACATGTGTGTAATGTGTATGTATTTGCATGTGTGTGTGCGTGTTATGCTACGTGTGCTGGGAAGAAGCATATACTGTATTCTGTTGAGAATAAGAGAGTAAAGACATGCCTTCCCTGAGACTCCATATGTAGATATATATATATCTTTAACCCCTCCCCCCAAAATACTTTGAAGGAACAGGAATCAGTAGCAGTAATGGGATATGTCTAAGTCCATGATTCCAGAGACCTATGCTGTAGTCCATATTCTGCTTTTGAGTTGCATGATGTGAGCAAATTACCTTCTCTAGATTGTTGACTTCCTCATCTCCAAAATGGAAACAAAGGGATTCCCAGAATTCTCTACAAAATTGCTTCAGAAACTAAAAAAGATAATGTATGTGAAGAGATTTTTCAAATACAAGGAATAACTGTCATTAGGTATCTACAGTTATGACAGTAAACCTAATATCTGTAAGATCTGCAAAACACAGACAGCTAGATAGAATATTACTCTGGAAATGTTTTCTAGTGGAGATGGGGGTTGGAGGGTGGGGAAGAGCTATAGGACAGACAACCTTGGAGCAAGTTGTGAGGTTTTCTTTTTTATCCCAATGTCTGTTTTTGCAGTGACCTAGACAATTGGATAAAAGGCATTGGTGTCATAGTATCATCACCTGAGCTGGCAGAGGACTTAACTGGCACAGAAATTTTACTGGAGCGACACCAGGTATGGCTACAAAAACCACATCCACTCATTACTTGACTTGATAACCTCCCTGCATTTAAAATTTTCAACAGGGTTGGTCTTACCAGTCCCTTTCCATCTGTGCCCACAGGAGAATCATGCTGATATGGAGGCAGAGACCCCCACCTTTCGGGCCTTTGAAAACTTTGGCACAGAACTTATAGACAGAGGGCACCGCAATAGCCCTGAAATTAATAATAAGCTTCAAGCTGTTAAACTAAAGAGAGACGATTTGGAGAATGCTTGGGAACAGCGCAAAAAGATGCTAGACCAATGTCTGGAGTTGCAGGTACAGCAAATTCCCAATAGTTAAGTAGGTTTAGCCTCAATAGGCTTATCACAGGCACTCAATGTGCAGACTTCCTGTGTTGTAAACACAGGGCATCTTTTATTTGGTATTGTAGGCTGAGCATTGTTGTTTTCTCAACTCTTATTCCTGTTAGAAGACACAAACAGATAGTTGCCAATCCTGGACATAAAGGGGGATGATTATCACTTATTGATTGTTCAAGGGATTGGTTGAATTTTAGTGAGAACCTATTATGTCCTAGCTACAAAGATTAGTAAGTGAAATTAAACATGTAGTAAAGATCATTCTAATATAGGAGATGATTATTAATAAAAATGTATGAATATTTTGAAGCTAAAAAGGAAGGAGTGATTGCAGCCTTCAAGGAAAGTGTGTGGGAGTATCACAGGCTACTTATATGGGTAATGTTTAAAAGTCTTAAAGAAATGACCAGTAGGTATTTACCAGGTAAAGGATAAGAAAAATAACTTCCCAACATTGGATATATAGCTTGGTTTTTCTTTAAAGTGTGTGCTCAGGAAAGAGTAAGTTTCAGCAAAGTTAAGATCCATTGTCTGGGTGTTTCCTGGAAAACTGTAAGCATTCCTTGCAGGACCCTTGTGTTGATATCATGGAGGAAGGATAAAATCATTTTCTCAGTCTACCTGTAATAAAACCTAACCTAACTTATTTCATCCCTCATAGTTGTTCCGAGGGAACTGTGAACAGGTTGAGAGCTGGATGGTGGCACGTGAGAATTCCCTGAGGTCGGATGACAAGGATTCCTTAAGCAGTTTAGCAGCCTTGATGAAGAAACGTGATGATTTGGACAAAGCAATCACATCCCAGGTAATAACAACGAATATAAAAGTTCTAATAATAACTATTAGTAATAATAACAGACTTCCTATACATTTGTCTGGTTTCTGATTTATATTTTTGGTACACATTTTCTTCTTGCAGACAACTCGGGCAGGCAGGGTAACTTGAGACAAATCACATGTGGCAATTGGACTTTCTTTAAGTTCACTGTTGTAAACCCCAAATTTTAGTATTAAAAATGTCTTTATATTTCAACACCCCATCCAATGCAGAATCTACTCTCTACAATAGCCATGAGAAGTGTTTGTTTTTTAGAGAACTCAGTACCACACAAGCAGCTCATCTCAGTATGACTGTTAGTTGTTTCTTCTCCAATTGACTTAAAATGTATCTGTCAGGGATTTACTATTTGGCCCTGGATCCATCTGAATATCTCTGTTTTTCTCTACGAAGGAGTCAGGGGTTATACCAAGGGTATAATCTCCAGGCATCTGGGCTATTTTATTTTCCTTTATCCAGGTAGGGAAGATCACTGACCTAGAACATTTTGCAAACCGGCTCATAGCTGATGACCACTATGCCAAGGAAGAGATTGTTACTCGACTTCAACATGTGCTAGACAGGTGAGACCTGTTGCTGTAGGAAGATGTAGCAAAGTTCCTCTTACTAGCATCATGATGGAGGTGATACTTTGAGTTCTTGTGCTAAGTTATCTGACTTTTAAAGAAACTTTCTGATCTTGATTTATAGAATGAAAAACATAGAAAGTACCTTATAAATTATCTAAGTTAAACACTCCATTTTATACCTAAAAACAATGAGACTATCTGAAAGGAAAAAGGCGTAGGTTGGAAATAGGAAAATTTATATATATGATATCAGACCAGAGGGAAGGGTAGAAGGCAGAGAGTTATTGGACTCCTTTTCCAGATGGAATGCTCTCAAAGCACAGCTGATGGCTGAACGGACAAAACTTGGGGACTATGCTGACCTGAAACAATTCTACCATGACCTTGAGGAATTGGAAGAATGGATCAGTGAGATGCTTCCCACAGCCTGTGATGAATCCTACAAAGATCCCACCAACATTCAGGCAAGTTTAAAATAGGACTCTTGGATAAAATTTTCAGCATTCCCCTACTTTGAACTCTCTCTTATTTTTTTAACCCTATTTTGCTTCCCTAAATGAGAGAAAAAATTAGTGTTTACTTTGCCTTTAGAGGAAATACCTGAAACACCAGGCCTTTGAAAATGAAGTTAATGGTCGAGCTGAGCAGGTGAAAGGAGTCATCAGCCTTGGGAACTCCCTAATTGAGCGGAAGGCTTGCGATGGTGAAGAAGAGACTATGAAGGTAAAGGTTCTGCTCAGGATGCATTGGCTACAAGGGCACACAGAGAGAAATCTTTTACCCTCTGTGTAGGGATATAGCATGTGTTCTGTGGTCAGTAGGTCTTTCCTCTGATTAATGTAGAAATGAGGAAGAAAGCAGTGAAGCTCAGACCATTAACATTCTCACCATACTCAGTTACTAATCTCCAAGAAAGCTTTCAACTTAATTCCCAAATCTTGCCATGCTTGTTTTGTATTTTCTATTCCTTCTACTGAGAATCTTTTGCAATTTTGAGTTAGTCTCTGTAAACAGCTAAGAATCATTTTTTCAAACTTTTTCTTTCATTCATCACCTTCTGTTATTTTCCCAGATTAAGCATAACTAGTTTGAAATGTGTTGCATTCAAGTATCAGCAAATTTTAGCTAATCCCTACATCCAGAGCCTCCCTTTATTATCCTCCCAAGATGTCACAAGACTCAGATTCCCAAACAGCCTAATGAACTCTCACTTTCTTTGAGTTAGATGCAGCTGGATGAGCTAAAGGAACATTGGGATTACCTCCTTGAGAGAACAACTGACAAAGGGCAGAAACTCAATGAAGCTAGTCGCCAACAGAGGTTCAACACAAGCATCCGGGACTTTGAGTTCTGGCTCTCAGAGGTAATTGCACCAGAAAATGGTGGGCGCCTGGAAGTTTAATGAACTCTCGTCAAATATGTGAATATGTATATGAATGATGTCCTTGGCCCTTTTCTGGAAAAGATTGTGGGTATTAGATACTAAATTTCATTCTCCTTAAACACAGTTTTCATCTATTAGCTTTATTGCCTGTTTCTCTGTTCCCAGGCAGAGGGACTGCTAGCCATGAAAGACCAGGCCAGAGACTTGGCTTCAGCAGGAAACCTGCTAAAGAAGCATCAGTTACTGGAGGCAGAGATGTTGGCTCGAAAGGTAAACAGTGCTGGGATTCAGCTACTCTGGGCAGAATGGAAATGTCTTTGACTTTCTTCCCTCCTATCATAGGAGACCATTTGAGAACACAGGCTTGCAAACAGAACTTGATGTTGTCAAACAGGAGTTATTTTTAACCAGGTCAAATCATGGGCTGAAGAGTTATTGTTACAGTCACAATAAATTTGACTAAAGTATAAACTCCAGGACTCCAGGAAGTGGATCCTAAAAAGCGATACTGTTTATTTTTAATGCTTGCATATAAATTCACTATTTTCCAAAACTGTATGTTGTATCTGGCATTTGAAAGAAAATGGAAGTTTATATTACAAAATTAGAGGGAAAAAATAAAATCAAATGGAGCATGCAATTAATTTGAAGTGCACATACACTCTAGAAATTCTGTGGAGGATCCAGTTACAATCCAGTATCAACCAAAAATTTGTCTTGGAATAGTGAGAAAAAAAAAATCTGGTTAGTGTAAATTTTATTACAGAGAACTGTATAGAATGCTTTATTTGGTAATTCAGATATAAACAAAAAGGCAAGAAGTCAAGCTTTAAGGCTTCAGGACTTGGTGATATTTCCTATTATATAACTAGGGGGCTATGTTAGACTGAAAGTAGACATAGAATAGCCTGGGCATGTTCTGAGGCCAGCTAAAGAATGTTATAAATAAAGTACAGATACTGAATTTTTTGATCTATCATTGACTATCAAATTCAGTACTGTGAAGGAAGATAGTGTTATATAGGGACAAATTATTGCTCACCAAGGTCTTATTTTCTAATTGATGACAGCAGGCAAACATAGGTGATCATAGCAGAAGAAGGAGCAGGACACATAAGAATAAATATAAAGCTGAGTAATACTCTCAGGTTATCTATCTTGCTTACTGATCTAATCCCTATCCAACCTGAGCATACACAAATATGTAAAACACATAATACTGCCCAACTTTAAATGTGCCATCTTCAAAAGCAATCTATTTGACTTAGTCTTTGAACTGGAGCCAGCAGTGATTAAAGTCTGGGGTCTGTGTAATACCTGTACTCTACCATTCACTGAGAACACTGGGGTTTTCTAGGACCCGCTCAAAGATCTGAATGATTTGGCGGAAGAGCTAGTCTCCAGTGGGACTTTCAACGTCGAGCAGATAGAGAAGAAAATGGATGGTGTCAATGAGCGCTTCGAGAACGTTCAGAACTTGACAGTTGCACACCATGAGAAATTGAAAGAGGCCTTTGCCTTGTTCCAGTTCTTTCAAGATCTGGATACTGAGGAATCCTGGATACAGTACGTATCGTTAACTTATAATGCGGAATTGATGTAAGAGATGGAGTGGGCAATCCACCAAACGTTCAAATTTAAGATGAAATGAAATTTGTAATTGTCTCTGGAAGTTGGTATTACATTTTAATCATATTTGCCTCTGCCTGAAGTTAAGATTGTTTTTCTTTTTGCACAAATTCCTTATATAGGCAGAAGACAACTATGAAGGAAGTGGGGAGCAGTTCACATACATACTGAGAACAAAATTCAGAAGCCATGTGTTTGTTCTAAATAGTTCATAGAATTGTAATACAGAGACAACTGGAAATCGACTTAATCAGCTGATTGTATTATTGTTATTATTCTCTCTGTATTCAGGACATACATGACACTAAATAGATACCAAAGAATATGGTGTAGCATGTGCATGGCTTCATTTGTGAATCCCAATTGTGTTGTGAGTTTTTTTGGCTATTTCCCATTTAACCTATTTCATCTTGTTTCTACATATCTGTTGATTCCTATGCATAATGAATGAATTGGGAAGTATAGCGTATTGGCCAATACACAGGGTATTTTAAAGCCTTTTAAAGTCATAAAATAGGATAATCTTGTTTATATAGTCTTCATAATTCATGGTAATGTTCATTTTACACATTTTACACTTGGAGCTGTCCCAATCGCCATAACATCAATAATATCAGCTCTCTATACCCATTTGAGCTAAATTTATTACTAATATTAATAAACAAAAATAATAAAAAGTCATATAATTTTCACATTTTTAGTGGTGCAGTGGGTTGAACTCAGGGTCTTGTGCTTGCTACACAGGCAGTCTACCACTTGAACCTCTCCACCTGCAATTTTTACAATTTTAAAAGAGAAAAATCAGTGTACATTTTGAGCAAAGGCGACATGATGCACAAGTAGGCAGGGATTAATGGGAAGATTGTTACATCTGTGAATAAGATGCATATCAATATATTGTTTCAATTGATTTGGTATAAGCCAGAAGTTTTGCTGAAAGGCTCTGCCACTATTTATCTTTTAAAAAAAATATTGGCACCAAATTGTTCCATAATTTACCACCTCCCAATACACAAAATACACTTAGAAAACATTACTGTAGGGTGACCTCAGGTATCTAAATTCTGAATTTTCCATTTGCTTCCTCTGCTCCAGGGAAAAGTTGTTACGAGTGAGCTCCCAGGACTATGGGAGGGATCTACAGAGTGTTCAGAACTTACTGAGGAAGCACAGACGCCTAGGAGGGGAGCTGTTAGCACATAAAGATGCTGTACAGGTAGGAAAAGAATATCAGACCTAAAGAGGTAGAAATAATCCAATAACATCCCTTATGTTATAGTTCAATAAATTGGTGTTGCAAATACAAAAGTCACAGTGAATTAGTCATACAGTTCACAAGAGTTCTCATCCACATTTTGTCTCATCTAAATAGGAGAGTCTAGACAGAAAGCCTTGTTCTTCCTTGAAAGGAGCACTTCTAACAATGCTGGGCAGTAGTTCATAGCTGGAATGTAGATTGGGACACTTGGGAAATCTGTATTTAAGCTTTGCTGTAGGAAGATGACAGTGAACAGTGCATCTGACCTGGTACCAGAGTCATAAGGAGTAGCCTAAGACAAGCATTGAGATATTTGCCAAAAATTTAGAAAAGATGTATTGTAGATCATGCTGCAGCTTCCTAATCCTCCTAGGATTTCCCGGACTACCTCAAGTCCTTAGGAAGGACCAGATAATTTGCCAGGGACCATGGCTGAATGGGAAGAGATTGTGGGGTAATACAATAAAGGGAGTGTGTTCTTCAGAAAGTGCTAGAGATGGCAGAGATACTACGAGACAAGGCTGCTGTGGGGCAAGAGGAGATTCAGAAGCGACTGGCTCAGTTTGTTCAACACTGGGAGAAACTCAAAGAGTTGGACAAGGCTCGGTAAGAATTGGGGACAAAAGGCTCAGTTATGTTCCTGGGCTTCAGGTAGTAGACTGGTGTTGGGAGGATGCTCATATGACTGTTCTTCCTATCTATCCTACAAGTCGCTGTTCAAAAACCAAACTTTCTGCCATTTACCCTAGCATAAATGACCATAGCTTCTGTTCTGAAAATGCCTTTCCTCCTGCACTTACATGCAACTGTCAATTATAATTAGTTCCTACATACGTTATCCTTCATACCAGGTTATTAGCTAACACATCTATTTTAATTTATCTCTTCAGTTTTAATATTATATGCTGACATAATAGATAGGAACAGTTTTTTCCCTTGTAGCCGTATAATAAATGTAACAAATTCTGTCTATAATCCCATGCCTTTTGGCATGTTGGAAAACATTTCTTCTGTGGAATAAAAGGAGGCTTCTAGCTTTGTGGTTCCTTCATCATACAAGAAGAAAGCCAATGTTCAACACAGAAAGAGACACTACCTAACTGTAGAGCATCTCCACCTCTGAAATCAGTATTTCCTTTCATTTTGGTAGGGTTTCCTTCCTTCAACAAAGTTTCTTAGAAAGTAGTGATGCCCCAAAATAAGATTTTAGGTGGGATTCTGCTCAATTTCACAGGAGATCCATACCCCTGACCAGTAGGCACACATCAGACTGTGCTCTGGCTCTGTTCACTGTGACTGCTTTGTGATAATCCTCAAGTCTGCTTTGGTGGAGTTCTACCACTTACCAATTCCTTCTTACCTCCATTGGGCCAACAACCTTGTTATAGAGGACTGCGATTGGAAGAGTCTCTTCAATTCCTGCAATTCTTGGAGAATGTTGAGGAGGAGGAAGCATGGATCAGTGAAAAGGAAGCTATGGTTGCCCGAGGGGATTCTGGAGACACGCTGGCTGCTACCGAGGTGAGAAAGAAGCAGAATGGGTCAATTTTTCTCTCATTAACTTGGATATTTCTTCAGTAGTCAGTGTTTTCACCTGTAAAATTAGAACCTTTCTCTAGGTAGGAGGAGATGAGGGAAATATAAATAATTCTTGTATTTTTAAATATGAAGAATCAAGGTCTAAAGATATAACTGACTTCTTCAAGGTCAGGGAACCAATCAGACATGAAAGCAGAATTTAAATGTTAATCCACCATGTGGTCTGTTGATGAGCGAAAGACATCACGATTGAAGGCCTTCCTATATGTTAGATTCCTTACAGGTTATAGATTTTTCTAAAGATTCACTCAAATCACAGTGTTACATTGACTTGAAAAAATTCCTACATTTGAAAATTGGTTGCAGTTTCTAGAATATATAATTTTAGCCTAATTTTAGTGTGCCTACTAGAGAGACTAAGTTCCAGAGTATAGAGTTACCGTTTTAAATGCAGGATTGGCTTTCTCAATAAAAAAATGAAGAAGTTCTCAATGTGGTCTTGGGTTACACAGCTTTAGACAGCTTTAGACAGAAAGATGGCAAAATAATACTGTTATTAGCACCTGACTGTTGTGCCCCATTGTCTTAAAAATTGGGGATTTACCAAGAATGCTTTGTAGAGATTAATTCACTTTTATATGATGACATAAGGAAAGACTTAGACTTATGAGAGAGAGCTTAAATTCTATCATGTTGTATTATCATTATTTTTACTTTGCCATTTTGATAGGTAGGTATTAATATCTCTTTGTGGTTTTTTGTTTGTTTGTTTTCTGGTTCTGGAGATTGAACTGAAGGCCTCACACTTATAAGTAAGAGGTCTTCGAAGTGAGCCATGCCCCAGCCTTTTTTTGTTTTTATTTTGTTTTTGGGATAGAGCCTTGCTAACTTTGTCCTGACTGGCTTTGATCTCATGAACCTCCTGTCTCTGATTCCTGAGTAGCTGGGATTACAAGTGTGTATCCCCATGCCTGGCTTCATTATGCTTCTAATGGGCATTTCCTTACTAGTTAATGATGTTTAATATTTTTATGTGTTGATATGTATATATTCGTGCAGTGAAATATCTCTTCATGTCTTTTACCCATTTTCAAAGTGGATGGTTTGGTGGTTTGGTTTTCGTAATAGCATTTAACCTGAGCAATGTCAGCAAGATAAGATTTTAAGTGTTCAACACATTATTGATGACTGCAAGTATGATATACTTTTAGGCTATTTCCATAGCTTGGAAATTGCATTAGAGTGAGCTGCCTTAAATATAGGAATGCTAATATTTTGTCAAGATCCTGATTTCAATGCTGTTAGACAATACATGAAATTAGCATTTCTAGGCCATATGGTAGTTCTGTTTTCATTGTTTTGAGGAACATCAATACTGATTTTCATAACAGCTGCACCATTTTGTGTTTCAACCAACAGTGTACCAAGGTTCTGATTTTTCCAAATCCTCAATAATACTTGTTGCATTTGTTTTGTTAATAACCAACCTGACAATATCAGGTGATATTTCATTGTGGTTTAATTTGCATTTTCCCTAATAATTAGTGACAGCAAGAATTTTTTTCATACAAAAGTGAGCCATTTAAATAATCTTTGAAGAAATTTTTTAAACAATTTTTATTAGGATATAGTTTTTGTACAGTGGGTATTCACTGTGACAATTACAAATAGGCTTACACTGTACATTGGTTAGATCACCTCCCATTTCATCCCCCCTTAATCCCCTCCTGCCCTACTAAAAGCAATTGCAAGACGTTTTATTGTTCTATTTCATATATGAAGCCTATCAACCATATTCCTTCACCTTAATCTCCTTCATTCACCCCACACAGTCCTATCTTTTGTTATTAGTTTGTAAATCGATGTTCAAAGGAGCTTCTCAATGTATCCCCACTGTGAGGATATTTTACTTTGGTTCATTCACCCTCTTCCGTTGTTTTCCCTTGCTACTTCTCTCTCACCCCCCATTATTCCACAGCCTTCAATACATATCCTTATATCCTCTACCTTTCTTTGAAGAAATTTTTATTAACGTCTTTAGCTTACTTTAAAATCAGATTATTAGGTGTTCTTTTACTTTCTATTTATTTAGTTTTAGAAGTAAGTTGAAGTAGTTCCTTATGTATTTTGGAGATAAATCCCTTATCAGATAAATGGTTTTGCATGATTAGGCCTCATTCTGTCTATTGAATTTTCACTCTGTTGATTGATTCTGTGCTGTGCAGAACTTTGTAGTTTGATGTAGTCCTACTTCTTTAGTTTTGTTTTTTGTTATCTGTGCATTTGGTACAATATCCACACAATCATTAGAGTTTTATATATAACATACAACAAAACATACATCTTTTGATGGAGAAATAATTCTCTGCATTCATCATTCTCACGTCTCTTTCAATTCTGCCAACTGCACAGATGTCATGTTTTCAGAGAGCAGTGAAAAGCAAAGAATGCTTGGAGTAATATTCAAAGACACCTCCATTTCTCCTTAGCCCCTGACTTTAAGATCAGTGCTTAGCCTAGTGTGTTCTTAATATTTTTCTGATACATAGTGTTTCATATAATTACGTGAATCACAACATGGAAAAATCATTATCACTTTGATCATTCAAGATTTAAAAAATGCTTAAGGTCACATGGCAAGTGTGACTTTTTTTCCCAATAAGACTGCCTTCTTTAATTAGGAAAGAGTTTGAGAGAGCAATGTGTGAGTTGTTTCAGAGAAAGTGGATACTCAATCAGTCTGTAAATTTTGTTGAACCAACCCTTGTGGTAAATAGCCTGCATGTAGATAGAGACAGGTTTTCCAGACTTGGGTCTTCTGACTTTCACTGACTCATCCTTGCAGAACTTGCTTAAGAAGCATGAAGCTTTGGATACTGACTTTGCTATCCATAAAACCCGAGTGCAAAATGTGTGTGTCCAAGGAGAAGACATCCTGAGTAAGGTAAGTTCACCCAGGGACTCCTAAGTCAAAATTTTATTTTTGAAAGGGAATGACCCAAACATAGAGTCATAAACAGTACTGAAATCATACATAGAATTTAAAAAAAAAAATCTCTTCTAAAGTTGACTCTTGTTGTTTTTCTCAGATATTCATTATCTTCTCAATTGCTGTTTTCTGGAAATTATTTTTTCGAGTTTCTATATACAGATCTTTCAGTGCTACTTAAAAATCTTTTGTAGACACTCTTGCTGTTCTATAATGATCTTATTACTGGCTTTGCCCATAAGATATTATAGGACTATAAAAAAAATCTTTCTAAGCCTCTAAGGAGGAAGACCACATAGAATCCTATTTATAATTTAAGAATCTTTTTTTTTGTTTAAATGTTAGTTTTCCAAAGCCTCATTGACCTGAGTACTATATGAAGATCCTTAAGCAGAGATGCCTTCATACCTGCCAGAATCTTACACCAACTAAGAAGGTTCCATTTATATATACAAACATGACAAAATCATTCAAATGCTGGAGTGGAAATAATGTTCTTGAGCACAGATGAATAGTGGAATAATTACAGTAGGCCAAGAAGAGAGTATTTATGTCTTTTGGATAAGAGAAATGAGAGCTTTTTAATGGAGCTAAGGAATTTACATTTCTAGCTCTGACACTTATCTGTATATCTGCCTGTCTCCTTCTCTCAACCTTGCTCTTGCAGGAAGAAACTGAGTACAAGGACAAGGTTTCTGCCAAGATTGAAGCTCTAAATAAAAAGATCCCTTTTCTGGCCAAGGCAATGGCTGCTTGGAAGTTGCAACTGCAACATGATCATGACTTTCAGCAGTTTAATTGGAAGGCTGATGTGGTAGATTCTTGGATAGGTATGATGTGTCAGGGCCAAGTTCCTTCAGGGTTAAGAAATCCTGACAAATCGCATTTGTAGAATAGTCTCTGGGGCTTTTCTTTTACCATGGGAAAGGAAATGCTTCCTTCACTACACAATCTTTCTGGGCACAAGTGCACTCACCTATGTACAACACATGCTGATAGGAAATTAAACATAATTCCATAGAACAAATTTTTTGGAATTGGTAATTTCATGTATGATATTCAGAAAGGCAGAAAACATCCTAGAAAATTATCTACACTGTGTGTTGATTTACTTACAATTTATGTCCAGTCTGTATTTTTCCATTTTTTATATGAAAAATATAAAAAAATTCCTGTGCTCCTAGCTCCACTGTAGTCAGGTTTATTTTGCTTAAGGATAGAAAATATAATCCGTTATTCCACACAGCTCCTATATTCCAGTGAGTCATCTATCTTTAGAATCAGGGAACTTCTTATTCCTCATTATAAATAATCATTCCCTCCTAACACAGGCTGATACAGGAACAGCTATTATTCTCTTCTCATTGATTATCTTTGCTTTTTAGGTGAGAAAGAAACAAGCCTGAAGGCCAAAGACAATGGTGGGGACCTCACTGCTTTTCTCACTCTCCTGGCAAAACAGGTGAGCTGCTGCAATGTTGAAAGGTGTCAGGGAGGCCCAAGACCCACATCACACAGAAGCTTTTGTGATTTTATTGTCTGTAGCATCTGTAATATTGTTTCCTTTTTCCTTCCCAATATTTATGATGTTCTTATATTATATTCTTACATATTCTTATAGATTCTATAACATATTATAGAATTATATAATATATATAATATATTATATATTATATTTAATATGAAATATACTGTTATATTGTACAATATCATCTATTGTACAATTGTATAATAGTATACACTATATATAATATATTAAACATTATATAACATTATATAATATATAAAATGCATTATATATTATTATGTTATACATTACATGTAATAAAATATATAATTATATATAACATAATATTCTTTCTTCCTTTCTCTCTCTCTCTCTCTTTCTTTCTGTCTCTCCCTTTCTCTCCTCACATTAGACATAAATGATGAACATTTGGTTTTCTATTTTACCCCTGAATGTTTGGGTATTCTCTTCTAGTAAGATCTGTACTAGTCTGTTACTATAGTTAAATACCTGATTAAGGCTAACTTTATAAAGAAAAGATGTTTGTTTAGCTCACAGTTTGAGGCTAAAAGTCCAAATAATATAGTGCAGGCCCAATGGCAGATGGCAATATCACAAGCAGAAGGAAAAGATCACATCTAGAAACAGGAAGCCAGAGAGAGATTGTCATCTTCCAATTGACCTAAGGACCTCCTATAAAGGACCACCTCTTAAAGGTTCCACACCATCATCACTGCACTGAAGATGAAGCTTCTGACACATGGACATTTAGGGGACACATTTAAGCCATATCTAAACTATAGCAATATCCTTTAATATCTTTAACCTTTTATATGTCTTTACCATTTTCTTTTAGCTTTCTTCAAATTAACTTGATGTTTTTACCTTAAATTTATTGAAATGGGTAGATTATCAAAATGTTAAACATTCTTCTTTCATATACATACAAAATTTATATATATGAATATAAATTGAAGTCTACAAATTTCCCTCTAAGCAAACATTTAGCTATATCCCACAAATTTTTTTGTCATCATTTAGCTAAACCGTTCCTGTAATTTCTAATTTAATTTAATATTTTTCTTTGACCTGTTGATTATTTGGTAGTATATTGCTTAATTTGCAAACATTCAAGAATTTTCTCATTATCTTTCTTTGACATTCACTATGTTTTAAAAATAAATTCTATATTGTTTCAGAAACTAAATGTCAAAAAATGGTCTGTTTTGGTGAATATTGGATATACGTTTGAAAACTGCATATTTTACCGTGGTTTATATTACCAACCCAATTTGAGTAGTTAGTTATGGTTTTTAAATATCTTGTTATTTTTATATGTGTTGATCTAGGTTAAAATTGTATTGACAGAATTGTGGAATCATTTTTTATGAATTGATATTACTCATGAAATGTTCCTCTATCTTTTTTCTTTTACTTATTTATTAGCATATTATACCTATACCAGGGATACATTGTGACATTTACAAATTGCTTACACTATATCCTAATTAGATTCACTCCCTCCATCTTTTTCCTTTGTCTTCCCTAACCCCTTCATAGAACAGTTTCAACAGGTCTGGTTATTCCATTTTTTTATATGAATACATAGTACTTCCACCATATTTGCCCTTCCTCATCCTTTCCTTGTGCCCTCGCTGCTCCCACTGGTACCAACCTCCAGACAGGACTGTTTTTTGAATTAAAATTTTCATTTTCAGATACTGGTATACTATACCAACTTTCCTTTTAATGTTGGTAGTGTGTAGCTATTTCCATCCTTCGGTGTTTTTTTTTTTTTGTATGTTTAAATTTTAGTTGTGTCTTCTGTAAATACTACGGAGGGGAATATTATGTTATTTTTTATCATTTGATAAATTCTCATTAGAAAATGTGTCTACTTACATTTAAGGTAATTAACTCTTGATTTTTGGGTTAAAACTGTAAGTTAGTACCTCTTCCATCTAATCCCCTGCTTTTTAGTCAGAGATTGAAATGATTCAAGATACAGTTTTAGACTTATTTTATTTTATTTTCTTGAGGACTTGCATGCATTTTACTTTGCTTTTACTCCCAGGGCCTTTCAGAGGTTTCAACTAAAGTTCTTTAACCAATACTGATCCTACTTAATGGATCTTGAAGTCAGCCTATGGCAGATCATGCAATCAGATCTAGTAATCAAAACTTCTGCATGGCAACTTAAAAAGAAAAGATTCTGAGCTACAATCTTTAACTGGCTTCTAGGACTTTTGTCCCATACAGTTTAGGAATCTAAAATGCCTTGAGAGGAAAAGATAGGAGAATATTGTACCTGCTTTTCTTCAGAACCTTTTCATGTCCCCTTCAATCTTGCCTGCTTCAAAATGATAACTTTTATCCTTTTGACTCCTTGAGATTGCCAAAAGCTCTGAATAATGCTTTCACCTCAACTTCTTACTTGCACAACTTACCCTTCAAAGGGAAAAGTGAAGACAATATTGCTCTTATGTCAACATTGTATCTTTCTCTCTGGAGTTTTGAGCTCTTGAGTTGTGGCTACCTGAGTCACATTCTGATTCCTTTCAATCAGCAGATTTTTTTGTACTTTTATGCAGTTGTTAAAGTTACTCTCAAAAGGAGAATCAGTCCAATTAAAGCCCCTCCTTTTGTGATTTTGATATCAACATTTCTGGAAAAAAGAAACTCATTTGTCTAACTGGCAATTATAGGAGGTTTTTTGTTAGTTTGTGTACTTTCCAGGCCACTAGTAGTGCCCTGTTACTAATTAGACCAAAGAGTACAGAGTATCAGAAAGAGTGTGTGCTATAGGAAGAATTTAATTTTGATGGGGAAAATTTGGAATAACATGTCATGTTTCAGTATTACCTTAACATTAATTTTAGACTAATCTAAAATCTAATTATAACCCATGCACATAGTGAAACTCAGCCTTAATTCCAACCCAAATGTTTACTTAAGTCTCTAAGTTATATTTTCTTTTCCTTGGTCATCTTCCTAACTCTTGCCTAGCCTTTATCATGTCCATAGTTAAAATCTGGTTGCCATTAGGTATGAATAGCACCTTAGCTCCCACACTGTTTTCCTGTTCATAGCTCATCTATTGATCTTCTCAGGATACACTGGATGCCAGTCTTCAGAGTTTCCAGCAAGAGCAACTTTCTGAGATCACTGATCTGAAGGACCAACTGGCAGCCGCTCAGCACAGCCAGACCAAAGCCATTGAGGAGCGCCATGCTGCTCTACTGAGGCGCTGGGAACAGTTGTTGGAAGCCTCTGCAGCTCACAGACAGAAATTGCTGGAGAAGCAGCTGCCTCTACAGAAGGTAAAAGAAAAAATGATAAGGCATGATCAGCTCTATTATCTGGATATTTGTCATGGAATTCAGAAATAGATACTGGAAACCCTGTTTGAAAAATCTGTAAACATTTAGGTCATTCTAAAGGATCAAGACATTCTTATTGAACAAAAGAGTTTGTTGTTTTAGATTGAAAGGAAAGTTTTAAAAATGTTTTATTAGTGTATATTAATTGTACAAAATAATGGGTTACATTATGGCAGAGATATCTGCATACCAATGTTTACCACAACACTATTCACAATTACCAAGTCATGAAATTAGGTTAGATGCCCATCAATGGATTAACAGATAAAGAAAATTTGGCATGTATATACAATAGAATATTATTTGGCCATTAATAGGGGTTTTTTGGCTTGTTTGTTTTAGTGGATTGAGCAGTTAAACAGCTGACTTGAGATGGAAACCAGGCATGTATAGTGGGAAAAGAGAGTGGGGCAAGAAGGTGTAAGGCCTTTATACACAGTAGAACTTAGTACTCCTAGAGCTGGCCTTGAGCTTTTCTCTAATTCCCATGCCTCAAAAGAAGAACTGGTAAAATAGCCATAAAACATGTTTTCAACTTGTATCTTTCTTAGATGGGAATCCTTGTATACGCCAGTTAATATCTCTGACCTTGTGTTCCCTACTTAAGAAATAGGACAATATTGCCACCTTTACCTGACTTTCTATTTTATTATTATTAAAGAAGACAATGAATCTAGAAACAGTATAAACCACTCAGTTCTACACAAATGGGAGTGATTAAAATGTTCTTTCCAGTGCTGGATATTAAGGCATGTTTATTTAGCATATGGATCATTAAAATTAGTACAATGTAAAAGGTAACTGTCTAATGCCTTTGTCATTCCCCCTCCATTTGGATTAATTTTATTCTCTTTAACTCCCTCTTTCAGGGATAATGAAAACTCATTTTCTTATTTGTTCAAGATAAACATTTTCAGAAATAGAATTTGCTCATCCAAAGTCTATGTGGTCATAGAAGTTTGGAAGAAAAAGAGGAAGCAGAATAGTACAGAACAGATTTGCCTGGTTCCTTTATTCAATCATTTTTCTGTTTGTTCCTTCAACATCTACTCCTGCATTTGCTATGTGCTAGGTAGAACTGGAACACAAAATTTAGAATAAAAAAATCACATAATTAAAAACTGCCCTGTCAGTTAAGGTATTGTAGAGATGAAGCAACGCACTTTCTTCATTTAGAAAGGTAGAAAGACTTGGCTAATTTCACATAATGAGAAAATGATAATACCAGCCAGGGCTATTCCTCTAACTCTGTGTCAATCCATTGTATCACATGGTCCCTGTTGGTTTTAGTTCTTCCTTTTTAGAGTCAGTCATTATTTTTACCCTCTATCTTCTCTTTTATCAAGGGGCTTTATTTAGAAAGGTGGAGGTTTCTTCTGTTTTCTCTGCAGGCTGAGGAGTTATTTATGGAATTTGCACACAAAGCTTCAGCTTTCAACAACTGGTGTGAGAATGCTGAGGAAGACCTGTCAGAGCCTGTACACTGTGTCTCCCTGAATGAGATTCGGCAGCTGCAGAAGGACCATGAGGCTTTCTTGGCCTCCTTGGCTGGAGCTCAAGAAAACTTCAACTATTTGCTGGAACTAGACCAGAAGATTAAAACCTTAAATGTTCCCTCCAGCCCCTATACTTGGTTAACAGTGGAGGTGCTAGAAAAGATCTGGAAGCACCTGCCTGACGCTATCAAGGTAACTTGGGGCACAACTGGGACATCTTCTGTCTATAGTGAGCATGACCACTTAATCCGTTACAAAAGTTAAGGAACTTTGAGAAAGAAAGGAACATACCATTAATAATTATACTGGGATAGCAGTCATGAATCAAGATTAATAAAAATTGGAAAGTATTTATACCTATGCCACAGTAGACTAACCTTGTACCCATAGTTTGTATCAGTTTGAACAATGATTCAGGGAAAAGAATAGATGCTCCAAATAGGCAGTTGGAGAGGTAATAAGTTATAAAAAGTTCATGAGTTATTTATGATCACTTAGACATGTGCCTGTGGAAGATAGAGCAGATTTGGGATAGAGATGTGCAGATGAGCCTACAAACCAGATCTTTTATGGCACAGAAAGTCCTCTGATATGAACCCTGCTCTCCATGTTTTGGTGTCTAGGAACGGGAGCATGAGTTGCAAAAGGAAGAAGCAAGACAGGTCAAAAACTTTGAGATGTGTCAGGAGTTTGAACAGAATGCCAGTGCCTTTCTTCAATGGATCCAGGAGACCAGGTGTGCCGTGCTCCCTCCAAACTTATGACCAGTATATCACACACAGTTTCCCATAGGGATGACAAACATGTCTGAAAGGGAGTGGAGACAATCCTACATCATGTATTCTGTCCCCAAGTCACCACATTTTGAGCATGCTTTATATTTGGAATTGGCCACTTTCTGAATCAGTCCTTGCAAAATTAAGAAATGGAAATTTCATTCTGATTCCCATTTTGCACTCTTCTTTACTCTTTCTTTGACACACTCACTTTTCTTCCTGTTGCCTATGATCATACTTCAGAATAATAGCAATCCATATTGCTCTTTACAAAATATTTCTATATCCATTATCTTACTTAGCTTTCAAAGCAACCTTGAAAAGTACTCAGAGCAGATCTTATTACCTCTGCTTCCATGTTTAGAAAGAAGTTTAAGTAGACAAATTGACTTCTTCAAGGTCACATAACCAGAAACAGAACCTACTGTGAATACCTAACATGATGTCTACTAAAGGTGTAATGGAGATCAAGTGGGATAATGTAGGTTAATTGAATTTATTAAATGCAAAATGTTCTATACATGAAGATAACATTTGTCACATCTTCTGGGTAAATGACCTGGAATAGAAGAGACATAGAAGATGTAATATATTAGAATTAATGTTTAAAGTTGGTACACTGTATCCATTAGATGGGTCATAATTGTGCTATTTTGAGGGCAAAAGTGGTGGCTATAAAATCCATAGTATATGTTGTCACTAAATACCCATTGGTAAAAATAAATGAGAAAAAAGAACAAAATGAAACCATCATCATTCTAGAAAACATCTGACTGACATCAAAGGAAACAGTATGATGTCCCTTGCCTCTGATTTTGGTCAGTCTATCATACCCTGGCAGTGTCTGCTCAACATTGAACATATGTTGTAGCATCAGTATTCTTTGGCCTAAAGCAAAGAGCTTCATGGAATGATGAGATTCTCAGAGTGGGAGAGGCTTTGGAAGCTGTGTGGATGAGTTAATATTTTTGACTACAAACAACTCAGAATGTTTCATAAATCTGAAGAAATATGATAATTAAAAGTAATCTGTGTTAACATATGATTTCCCTCTTCTTTCTTCCGATTCCTGCTCCGGTCCACCATATCCAGGGCTTATTTTCTGGATGGGTCAGTATGTTATGTTATCATGTTTGCTTTCTTATATTATTCTGGAAGAATTAGTTAAGGGGTCCTTAGTTCTGAAGCATCATTATCCTATAGCAATCTGATAGTGCCTAAATAAAAATTCGGGGTGAGAAATAGAAGCTCATTTGATTTCATCCTGCTCCTATAGGCCAGCAGGTGGAGCACTGCCTACATTGTTTCAGTGTATAGCTTGTTCTTCTGTATTTGGGATCTATACCTGTGGATTTAACCTACCATGGATTGAAAATATTCAGAAAAAAAATGTGTCTGTACTGAATATGTGCAGACTATTTTCTTATCATTACCCCTAAACAACTATTTATATAGCATCTGCATTGTATTAGGTATTATAAGAACTCAATCTAAAGATTATTAATGTGTATGGAAGGATTTGTGTAGGTTATATGAAAATAGTATGCCAATTTATATATGGGAGTTTCCACAATTCTGTATGCATAGGGATCCTGGAACTAGTCCCCCATGGATACTAAAGAAATGAGAATGAACTAGCAGAGGCATGTGGAAGCCCTCTTCTTAGCAGATAAAAACTAGGGCAGGTCTTATATCCTTTTTTATCAGTCTGGAAAGATTACCAAAGACAGAAAGTTTGATTGTGAAAATTTGGTTTTATGAAACTTTATTTTATAGAGGACATGTAACTTGAGAGAAGTAGAAACAGAGAAGTATTCGTTCTTTGAGTTGGTATGTCTGTATGAAATATTAATCTCTGATGGTCTGAGTAATATTTCCCTTTGGTTCTAAACCAGATCTTTACTCAAAGAAAAAGGAACTCTGGAATCCCAACTGGAAGCAAATAAAGTAAGTATCATTTGTAAGATTATAAACAGTGCAAAGGAAACCAGTTAGAAACCTGGTAACCATTTTAGGTAGACAAACAGAAAGCTAAGGCTGTGGTCCCACTATGTCACTAATCTGCATTGTAGCCACAGGCCACCACTTTGTAGATATGGACCTCAGTTTATTTAAATCTCTGAACATTAATTTCTGTATCTATACAATTGAATTAATGCCTACATTATGAGGTTTAATGATTAAGTAAGAGAGCCAATATGAAAGTTCGTAGCCTATACCTGGAATATCAGCAAATTTCTGTTGTAATTTGATATGGACAAATGATATAACTGAATCTAGATATGGGCTAGAACAGTATTTCTCAATCTTATTTTTATTGCCTCCTCCCAGAAGAAAAAGTTCATTAAATTTAATCTCTCCCTAATGAAAGAAAAGTAAGATGTCAGGTAGAGTTGATGTTTGGAGGCCCACAAGCCTTATAACATCCAACATTTTCATGCATTTCTCACCATTATCAGACCATTTTGTCCCATAGCCTTGGGGAACAACAAGCTTTCACTAAAAAGTATGGGAAAGATGCAGAAAACTGGCAAATAATGTGCTTGGTTGGTGAGAACAGCCCATACTGATGAAGGAGACCCAGCAAGGGACATGGAGTACTTTGATGATAATTTACATTTTCATCCCTGTGAGCTGGTGGTACCTGAGTCTTAGAGATTCTGTTCTTGTGGTATATAACTGTTAACTCTTAGTTTTATATTTTGAAAAGTACCAGAGTTACAAGAGTCTTCTCACCTAAACTTCCCACTGTTTAATAAAAGAGGGCTATAGAAGTGAAAATACTTTCCTCAGTTATTCCTTGTTCATAGAGGGCAAGAAGTTTCCTGAAAATAATTGAAAAGGAGCAATTTAAGGAAAACCCAAACTCATTTCTTTTCTCTCCCATCCCTAGGTTTGGAGCTGGTGGCCTAACTGACTGTTTCTCTTCTTCTCTGTCTGTTCCTAGAGGAAGCAGAAGGAGATACAGGCAATGAAGCGTCAGCTGACAAAGATTGAGGACCTGGGGGACAACATGGAAGAGGCGCTGATCCTTGACATCAAATACAGCACCATTGGATTAGCTCAGCAGTGGGACCAGCTTCATCAGTTAGGAATGAGGATGCAACACAACCTGGAACAGCAGATCCAGGCCAAGTACTGAGGATTTATAGCCAATATTGGTTGTTAGGAACCTAACTAAGGGCTAGAGTTTACGGTACTCATATAGGGAACTGTTCTAGAGATAGTACACTCACTTTCAAAGCAAAGCAAATATATTCTCTCTTCACTACTTCCCCACAGATGTGCTGTTTCTCATTATACTCAGATTTATTGGGAAATGAGAGACATGCCCTCCCCATGACTGCATTCATCATCTGCCTGGACAAGTGACCCTTCCATCTGTTTCTCAGAGTCCCCTTACCATCTTACGTGTTCTTTTCAGAAAGAATTTCCTTTTGTAAAATTCTACTCCAGATATAGTATCTAGGGTGTAAGAAATATTCAAAGTATGGATTAATACAGGTCAAGACAGAAATTAGTTTTCCTAGGTAAGCAAATTATATCAAAGAAGCGTTAGATCTCAATAGTTTTTTGGCAATATTTTTATCTAGATCAGGGGTTGGCAAACATTTTCTGTATAGGACCTTGTTATAAATAATTTAGTGTTTGTGAGTTATATAATTTCCATTATAACTTTTCAACTCTGCTAATATAGTGAAAATGAAGCTATAAATAATTCAGACATGGAATCATGGCTGTACCCCAATAAAATTTTATTTCTGGACACTAAAATTTGAATTTCATACAATTTTGTGTTCCATAAAATATTCTTGTGATTACATTCGATCAAATGAAATTTAAAAACGTTCCTGATTCATGGACTATGTGAAAACAGATGGCAGGTTGGATTTGTTTCGTGAAGCATAGTTTGCCAATCTCTGAACTAGATGATTCAAGTAGCATATTGTCCATTAAAATTCCTCTTGGGCTGGAGGTAAGGCTCAAATGGCAGAGTTCTTGTCCAGCAAATACAAGGCCCTGAGCTCTAATATGCTAATATGCTAATAATAATAATAGCAGTAGTAGTAGTAGTAGTAGCAGCAGTAGTAGTAATTCCTCTCTTTCATATAACATGTCATTTGCTGTTTTCTATCTTGTTTCATGGCTTTATTTATACTTTTCAGGGACACCATAGGTGTGAGTGAGGAGACACTAAAGGAGTTTAGCACAACCTATAAGTGAGTATAACTTCACAGTTTACTGGTTCTTTGTTTTCTATACCAGTCAGAGTAAATTTACAAATAACTAATACTTTTCTCCCTCCATGTGGTTTGATGAGATTTTAACTAAAGATCTAGATATGTTAATTAGCTTTAGTCTGTGAGATTCTTGAACTTTGAAAAATAATTCTCTTTCAAGCTCAATGTTTTATGCTTTTTTCTCTATCCTCAGGTTTAAAGAGGTTAAAAAATAGAAATATAGATATAAGATACAGATAGAGACAATTCTATGACAACCATATTGACATGACGTGTTAATAACACTTTGGTTGATACAACAAAGACCTATTATTTTCTGTTCTAATCTGGTTCTCTTTTGAATTTGATAAAAATGCTTTTATTCTTTAGACACTTTGATGAGAACTTGACAGGGCGCTTGACTCACAAAGAGTTCCGGTCCTGCCTGAGAGGACTCAATTACTATTTACCCATGGTAGAGGATGATGAACCTGAGCCCAGGTTTCAGAAGTTTCTGGATGCTGTGGATCCAGGGAGGTAAGTGGAGGACCACGGGTCACACTAGCATGGTATTAGAGATTGGAGAGAGTAGAACAGACAGCAAAATTGTCCATAAAACATGAAAAAAACTCATTTGAAAATAGAGAAATACAGACAAACATAAATGAATTGGGCAGCTCTCAGTGCTCCTTTGAAATTAGCTTAGAGATAAATGGTACTAACTCCAACTCAGATCCTAGCTCTTCAGTTTTCCCAATTCATGACTCATATTAGATCTATGAATATCAACTTGCTCTGAAGGTGAGACTTAAGAGAAGAATCCTTTCATGTATGTGAGATTTTAAGGAGATGTGGGTGATTCAAAGGCCAACACTTGCGTGTGAAGTTGTGTGTGCTTGTGGGGTTGTAGTAGAGTCATGCACGGATCAAGTTATTGTTAGGGAGTAATGCTGTCTAATAGTAAAGACAATATAAGTCTGAGAATTACATAACATGAGAAATTCTAAAACTTTGCAAAGAGAATGAAGCTGAATGACACAAGTATAAATGGTCTGAAGTTTAGGAAACAGTATTTGACTATAAGAAGGTGAGGAGGGTGTCAGAATGCAGAGCATAGCCATAGTCTCAGACCACTTATTTGAATGAGGAATAGGGAGAATCTGCCTTCCTTCTGACTCCAAGACACAGGTTAGAATGAAGGGGACCGCCTACTTCTCTGACTTGAGATCCTGTTTCACTTTTCCCACAGGAAGGGCTATGTCTCTCTGGAGGACTATACATCATTTCTAATTGATAAGGAATCGGAGAACATCAAGACCAGTGATGACATAGAAAGTGCTTTCCAAGCCCTAGCAGAGGGAAAGGCTTATATTACCAAAGAGGACATGAAGCAGGTCAGATTCTAGTTGCTTCTTTTATTATGCTCTCATCATCCGGATTTTGGTCATCTTAGTCTTGGCTGCCTATTTCAAAAACCTCTACCATCCTACTCATTTTCCCCTCAGACCTCTCCTTTCACAAGATGCCATTTGTTTTGGTCTTTCTTTTGTATGGATCCAGCTCAAATACCTATAGTGTATCTCTGACTGTCAAAGACAATTCAAAACCAGTAATTCAGTTTTTTAGAGTTGCTTCCTATCACTCCTTTTTAATAAGCTGAATTTAAAGAATACAGAATTTAGTATATTCAAAATGAATGAGCTCTTTAATTCAAGAAAGAGCTAAGTTGAAAATATGGATTGGTCTTATTCATTGGAAATCATAAATTTATGAGAACAGAGTGTGATAGGAACAAGGCTTGTTTTTTCTTCCAGAGACTCTCTACCTCCTACATGTACAGCATGTCAGAAACCACAAAGAATCACCTATTTTGAGTCTTTATAACTGTATCTTTCTCTTTCTTCTATTTTTCAGGCTCTAACCCCAGAACAAGTATCATTCTGTACCGTACATATGCAGCAATATATGGACCCACGGGGCCGAGGCCATCCTGCTGGCTATGATTATGTTGGCTTCACCAATTCCTACTTTGGCAACTGACAAGCAGATATTTGGGAATTGTAGAAAATCTTGGTGTGTTGGGAAAGTATTGGGGTTGAGAGGATGGGGAAGTGTGGAGGATGAAAAATGGTCATGTGTGTGTGTGTGTGTGTGTGTGTGTGTGTGTGTGTATAATGTTTATTTCAGGATGTAAAATCTATCAAACTTCGAGTGGAGCATGAGGGACTAACAGAGTTGGAAAAGAGGAGGCAATGTGTTTATTTGTATGGAACTAGTCATTACCGAGGAATGCCAAGGTCTTTATTTTCTATTTTTTTATGTTCTACATAAAAATGTACTTTATTGTGTCTGATTATAAAATAAAGCATCTCTTTTTAAACAGGAACTATTAACTAAAATGTTTCTGACCCCATTGAGCTTCTGTGTTTCTGGGAAACATACTATTACCTAAATGTGAGCAGCTAATTATATTATAAAAAAAGGGCCATAAAAAGTATGAATAATATCCAAGATAACTTACAATTTATTTTTAGCTTTGGAATGTGGTTAAATTCTTATATTTGGAAATGAGGATATTTGATATTCTGAGGAACCTCAATGTTTTAGTTTGTGAAATATAGACATAGAGAGATCAGCATGACACCTGTTTTTTTCTTAAATCTTCCTGTTTTCAGTTTTCTTTTTAACTCTTCCCCCTTTTCATTCTTTACCATTATAGTAGATGTTTTTACTCTCAGAATGACAAAATTCCCACATAGCAGGGCTCCTTCTTGTCCCCTAAGACCCTGAATTCCTTCTTAAGTTTTAATGGGATGAAAATAATATTTGTGCTTATTTGCTTCTACCTACTGTTAGAGTAGGACTCAGTAGAATAGTTTATAAAATTATAAATTAAGTAAAAAACAAGAGAAGGTGGTACTGTCTCTAAGAATCTTCAAAACAAGTTTGGTCTGAGCAGATTCAAATGCTAATATTTGGACTTGAGTTATCAAAAGTGATAGTGCATTTTATTGGTGAGAATTCTTAGGTCACTTTGCCTTGTGTAAAATTGCCAGTGTCCTGTACACAGCCCCCACCTCCTAATCCATGAATACTATACCTTGATTACCATCTTAAATCTCTGTTCCTTCCTTTGCATGGAAATTAATCCTCCTTTGGTCTAAGGGAATATCCTGTCACAAGAACCATTTAAAAGAATTTTGTTAACTAGCAAAAATGCTTTGTCTTTCTTATTATGCTTATGTCTTCTCTTCAAAAACAATTAGAGATAAAGGCAGAACAGGTTCTACCTGGAAGTGAAGGGGGGAGGGGAGAAAAAGGTGTGTGTGTGTGTGGGGAATTACCCAAACAATGTATGCACATGTGAATAAATGAATAAAAATAAATAAATAAATAATTTTAAAAAGAATTTTGTTTACAACCAAAAAATTACCTTTGTCACAATAACATTTTGCTGACTTTTGCATAAGCGATCAAATACTATGATATAACAATCAGAATGTACTCTAAAAATGAATGTTCACAAATGTCTAAATTGCTTACAAGTAGAAAACAGTATAGTCAGTTGATCATCAAAAAACACTATTACCTAGTATCACACAAGTATGGACATTCTCAAACTTTGTGTTGGAAATAATCAGACAGGATTATTCAGGAAATAATTCAAAAACAGTCTGTGCAAACAGTTCTTAAGACCCCCCATCTCCAAAATAATCAGAGCAAAATGGATTGGATTGTGTCTTAAGTGTTGCAGCACCTGTTTTGCAATCATGAAGCCCTGAGTTCGAATTCCAGTCCCAACAAAAATAAACAACAGTAGTCAGAGATGCATTCAGTTCCTTCTGAAATGCAATTGTGATCACCTGTTCACTACACTCAAGCAAAAGAAATCAATATTGGAATCAACATGTAATTTAGTAGGGACTATATTCAATGTATAATATAACAATTAGAATCTGTTTTAAATATCTTTCTTAATCCAATAATTAAGTTCCTTCTAATTAATATTTATTTCTTCTCGACCTTCTATCTACTTGCTTTATGTTAGAATCCTTGCCTTACCTTTGCTGATTATCTTCTTTAAAACTTACAGATTAGATCCTGCTCCTTAGCCCAAGCCCTATGGCTACATCCTTGATTTAATTACTTCACTCCAAATAGAACACTCCTTTTTTTGTGAACCCTTAATTAACATAGAGAATTTAAATCACCTGGGGAGATTTTGTAGCCTAACTCTGTTGTCTCCATCCTCAACCAATTGTGTCAATACCCATAAAGATGGAGCTCAGGAATATGTACTCTGAAATACCCCCCAAATAGTTGTACAGCCTTTCATACTTGAGTATTACAAGTGCAAGTTAGACAGACCTATAAACATTTCCTAGCAATTCTTAGAACATCCTTACCTACCATTGGTCAGGGTGCTTTTAGGGACTGTTATTCTGGGTAAACTGAATGGGTTGTGGAACTGAACTTAATTAAATAGCCTCAGTGCAATGGGAGATGGCATCCAGCCTATAGTGAAAAGGATCCAAGATTAGATGGCCTTTCTCTTTTGACCTAGGTCCTTAATGCCATCTGAGTAACTAACCTACTTCAACATAGCCTGTTCTCTTCTCTGACATGTGGCTTTCTTCCTCCCACATTTAATTTCCACCAAATTGTAACTACAAGGTATAGTTAGAGCATGAAAACTATGGATTTTTATCTTGAAAAACTATCATCTCAGACTAAGTTCTTCCTTCATCTTAAGCATTTCCTACTTTTATCTCATTGGTAAATCCTGTAGATCTGGATCCTACCTTTTCAAAATTGCTAATGTTTGTGATTTTTTTTGTTTCCAATATTGCCATCCATATTCAGACCTCTGTCTTTCTTTAGAATGATGGCAATGGGTTTCTTATTTGTCCCCTTGCCTCTGTTTCTCCCTGTGAAAATCCATCCTCCTCCTCACTTACGGATTGAATTTCTTGAATCATTTCACAGATGCCAACCTACTCTGTGCTCAAAGATTTACTCTATCTTATCTTCCACTGCTAAAAGGATTATTTCTGAAGCAAGATATTTACACTGCTGCCCACTCCAGTGAAGAAATCTCGACCTAAGCAAACTTCCCAGCATCAATTTGAGGCATTTTCCAGCTCCTCTGGAGAAATCAACATATTCTAAAAGAAGGTTGTATTGTATTACACCCAGCCTTTGGTAACTCTGTTTCTTCTATGAATATCACCAGTCAATGCTGTCAAAATTCTACCCATCTTTTTAGGAAAAGTTCAAGAACTATCTTGAACATGAAGCTTTCTCTGATTTTCACCTTAGAGTAACCTTTTTTCTGTACTAAAACCAATACCACTTTTCATAACACATTATTAATAGTAGAAACTAACAGTTAGTGAACAATTATTATAGCCCAAGTATTGTGCTAAATTCTTAATATATGTGATGCTGTTTAGTCATCAACCCAAAACTATGAGGTTAGAAACATTTTATAGATGAGGACTTTGAAGCTGAACATGGTTAAGCAATTTATCCAGTACTATACAGTTTATAAGTTGAAGAGGTTGCATTCAAATTCCTACCTGAGAGCTATGGGAGTTCACTACACTTTTACTTACCCCTAATAATATCTGGCACCATGTATGAAGCAATGTGTAGGCAGAGAGTAGAATAGGCTGAATAGGAGTTCTACAACAGATTCAAAAGTATAATAGCCAGGTTGGGGACTGAGGAGAGTTCTTGATACCAGAGATCATCAGTAATTATCAAGGAAAATATGAAATAAATGCATTTTCCTGTAATACAATGTACTCAACTTAGATTCCAATTAAAATAAGGAATGTAAAGTAATAATGAATTAGAGATAGAAAAATTCTAGTATATAAAAAGACAAAAGACACTCAATGGCAGAGAAAAGCCTGTATTTGCTTTTAGCAAGGCATTGAGCTAATCTGCCAAAGTGTTATTCACTGAATTTCAGATCTTGAAACAACATTATAGGTCAAATATTCCAATTATGTAAATATTTTAGAATTCTCTGCAGTGTCCCTGATAAGATTGCTGCCAGCTCTTCCTTGAACATGCCAAACTGCCCTCATTTAGTTCAGCTCAGTTGGAAAATTTAAAATGATCTTAATGAGCTAAGAAAATTCTTATTTCTTAATGGGTTTCAATAACTAGGGGTGACATCTATGAGGCTAAAAGTGAAAATTCTGATTTTTTAGCTCACTGTGCATTGAGCATCATAAGCAGAGCAGTAATTCCTGCTTCTGCATTCCCAAACAGCATAGGAGGAAGGGAAGAGCTGGATGGGGCTCTTCCAAAAGTTTGTGAGCAGGGCAGCTTTGCCCGCCACATGTAATTCTTGGCCTATTGAACCGGGTCTGGTTTATGACCAGCCTGCACAGAGTAGTGTCTTTTTGGTCTAGTCTTCATCCTTTACTCAGTAAACTCCCTGTAAAAGCATTTCTCAGAGATGTCTGCACAGCCCGATTCCTTAGACTATAAACAATGGGATTGAGGAGAGGGGTTACCACAGTGTAGGTGACAGAAATAAGCTGATCCCGCTCAAGACAGTAGGTGACTTTGGGCCTCAAGTACATGAAAGAGGCACAGCCATAATGAATAATGACCACAGTGAGGTGTGAAGCACAAGTAGAGAAAGCTTTCTTTCGCCCCTCAGCAGAGGGGATCCTAAGGATTGCTGCCAGAATGCAGGCATAGGAGATGGTGATGAAAAAGAAGGACACCAAGAGGACCAACAGGCTAAGGACGAGGATCCCAATTTCACTTAGTCTTGTATCACCACAGGCAATGCTTAGCACTGGTGGTGTGTCACAAAAAAAGTGTTGGATCTCATAGGAGCTGCAGAATGAGAGGTGGAAAATGACCAGTGTCATTCCCAATCCGAAGAGGTATCCACTTAGGAAGGAGGCACCAACAAGCTGGGCACAGAGAGTGGGATTCATGAGACTGACATAGTGCAGTGGGACACAGATGGCCACATATCTATCAAAGCCCATGACAGACAAAAGGAAACAATTGGAACAAGCCCATGAAGCAGAGAAAAACATCTGGGCAGCACAACCCACATAGGAGATAGCCTGGCCCCCCATAACCAGGCCAGCGAGCATCCTAGGAATGATGCCCAAAGTGTAGCAGGTCTCAGAGAAGGAGAGGAAGGAGAGGAAGAGGTACATGGGAGTGTGTAGATGACTATCTAGCCTGATAACTATGATAATGAAGACATTGCAGGTCAGGGTGATGAGATACAGAGAGAGGAACAAGACAAAGAGCAGGAGTTGCATCTCCCCAAAGCTGGAGAAGCCCAGAAACACAAAGCCCTTCCACCAGGTTACATTGGTCTGTACCATTCTAAGTGATATTCCTGATAATTTTGTTGATTCCTTCCACCATGCCAGTAGACCTAGCTTCTCCAAAAAGTAGATGAGATGGATTCTCTTTTCTTTGTACCTGTTGTGACTTGAAAAGGAACATTTGATTTAGGCTGCAGTCAAACTTCAGAAAGACATTTGTCACATCAAGCACAAATATTTATGGATCCACTCTCACACACATGTATATACATTTATAGAGATAAACTATCATCACACATATCCATGTGCATGTGCTTTCACATAAGCACATGTATACAGGCAAAGGACTCACATGCAATCATGCACATTTCACACATTCAGAACTATACATTGCATGTTTCCTAATAATTGCCATATCCACAAATATATTACCCATGCCTTTTCATACAAAAATACATATTGAGACACATAAAAATTTGAAGATATATGTACCACTTATACATTCATACAGACTTTATAAGTAAGAATATACTTTAGACACAGATATTATCTATGAGAATGTAGAGTGGAGATGGAGAGCTTCATGAATATTTTGTACATCAGGCAACAAAAGCCCAAAGAGGTGAAGTTGCTTTCTTGAAATTACACAGAACAAGTTTGGTGAGTTCTAATGTAATATCATTTTCCCCATACAATGATTACTCTTATCAGATACTGTGGCACACTTACTAACACAAGTAAAAATTAGGAAACACCTTGCTCTACATTAATTGACTGTACCTGTAAGATTCCTCCCCAAACCATTTTACCCTTTCCAAATTTTTTGGGCAAAGTAGGGTAGATCCCTCCCTTTCTCATGTTAAGCCTATGCCAAACACTGAAGAAAGAACAAGTCTCTAGGTAGGTTGTGTATCAGACACCCCTCAGCACAAATATCAGCCACCAGGCTCTGCTGCCTTTCCCCCAAATTTTGCTATGAACCAAAGCTTGGGAGCGATTAGGCAAGAGGGACATCTCCACTCACTTGAAGGGATCACAGTGAGAGGAATTCTTGCCTCCAACAGTCATGCACTACACTGCTTCTCAGCAGGCAGTGCTGCAGGAGAAACACCTGAGGTCCATCACAGAACTCTTGTTCTGAGCAGTGATGTCTCCCAATTATACCAGTACACTTCCTTCCACACCTCCTTTCCTAGGTGGTGAATAATGTCTGCTTTCTTCCGAACAGCTTTTCTCTCTCTGAGGATCCCATCCCAGTGGGTGCTGCTTCAGGAAGCATGCTTAATTGTGCTTCTTGTCATTAGTTGGGAGTGTCCTTTTGGGAAAAGCAGAAAAGGGGATGTGAACAAAGAAATGCTAAGGTCTCTGTTCAAGCAATAATTTGCATATCAATAATGGGCTAAATATTACATTAATTATTTTCACATGTTGAATTTCTTTTGAAGCTTGCAACTTACTACACTGCATCAGTTACAAAGACTCAAAAGATGAGTAAGATGTGAAAACAAGTAATCCATTGGTAAATATACTGTCTTTATAACTATCTTCCTTGCACTATTATCTTGCTTGTGGGTTTACAGTAGGCATTTTAACATTTTAAACTCAGTATTAAGCTATTTCCAGTAAAATATAAAAAATATGCAATGGCATAGCCCACTTACATAAATCTGCCAACACCTTGTTAAAATTATTATTTTAGGGCTGGGGATATAGCTCAGTGGTTTAGTGTTTGCCTTGCATGCATGAGGCCCTGAGTTCAATCCCCAGTACCACCAAAAAAAAAAAAAAAAAAAAAAAAAAAATTATTATTTTAATGGTACTGGCATTTGAACTCAGACCTCACACTTGCTAGGCAGGCACTCTACCATTTGAGTCATGCCTCTGGACCTGTTTTGCTCTAATTATTTTCTGGATAGGATCTCGAGTTTTTCCCTGGGCCAGCTTTGGATCAAAATTCTCCTACCTAACCCTCCACATAGCTGGGATTACAGTTGTAACCCATGTCCTGCTTATTTGTTGAGATGAGGTATCACTCATTTTTCGCCTGGGATTGCCTTGAGCCACAGTACTCCCAATCTCTGCCTCTGGAGTACCAATACTGCTGACATTTTTATATATGCTTATAATGTAACTAGGTTAGGTTCATTCCCACCATCATTCTTTCTCATCTTCCTCCCTGCTGCTTAAAATGATTCCAACAGGTTTCAATGTTCTATCTTTATACAAATATAAAAGGTATATCTAACACATTCACTCTCCCTTACCTTCCCCATTCTCCCTCCCTATAACAGGACTTGTTTTTCATTCCTGTCCTTCTTTGTTTAACTGTATATAATTGTTCAAAGGGTTTTTGCCATGGTATTTCATCTGTGCATATATTGTACTTTAATCAGCCTAATCCCATTTAATACTTTTCCTTACCTTCTCTTGCCCCCTATGATTTAAAGGCTTTTAATACGCTTTGTTGTGCCTTCTTCCTACACAGAGGTGATGTATTTCAATATTACTGACTTTCTATTATTCTGTTATTCTCTTTTCCTCTCTCTCCTCCCCCTAGTCTCCTCAAATTATGCCATTATCTTGATCTATCTTCCACATATGAGAGTCAATATGTGACCTCTGTCTTTCCGAACCCAGCTTACTACACTCAACATGATGATTCCCTTTCATTTATCTGCAAATGACATAATTTCGTTCTTCTTTATGGCTGAAAAATTATCCATTCATAGGTTGTAGGAAATCTGGAATGTACCCATACCTTAGCTGTTGTGAATAGTGTTACAATAAACATGGGTATGCAATTGTCTTTATTGTATCCTGAGTTACATTTCTTTGAATATATGGATAGTATGATAGTTGTGTTTCTAGTTTTGTTTGTGTTTTTTTTTTTTTTTTGAGGAATCTCCATACTTGTTTCCATACTGGTTGTACTAATTTATATTCCCAATAGCAGTGTATAGGGTTCCTTTTCCCCACAACCTCACCGACATTTGTTGTTTTTTGTGTTCTTGATGATAGCCATTCTGACTGGAGTGAGGTGAAATCTTAATTTGTTTTTTTGATTTGCATTTCCTTTATGCTAAGGATGATGAATATTCTTCATGAATTTATTGGTCATTTGTAGGTATAATTTAGTAGTAACAAATTCATCACTGGAATAACAAACCAGGTATTTACATACCTGGTCTCTGGCAAGTCCCTTAGCCCTGCAAGTCAGTATCTAGCATGCCAGGTAGTCCTTGTGAGCAGGAGGTAACTCAGGTCTGGACAGTGGAAATAAAAAAGAAAACACCAACAAAACTTTGCCAGTGGTGGTGGTACAAGATGGAACAGGTCCCTGTTGGTGACTGTACACCTGTGGTGAATTTTCACTTTTAAAGGCTTTGTAGAGGTTGGCCCCTCTAGCTATGGTCTCTCCTTACATTGGCACCCTCTTTTTTTTTTAGCAAACTAACTTGACCACATATCCTTGCAGCCACGAATTGAAGGTTTTCTGTTAAGTTTGTGAAGGCTTGGGGACATAGTGGCTACTGTCAATCTGCCATTTTGTTAATCTCTCTTCAATGTCTTCAAATTTTTCATTGTACAGTTCTTTTACCTCCATATTTAAGTTTATTCCTAAGTAGTTTGACACTATTGTCAATGGCAAAAATTTTAAGATTCTTTTTGTGCCTTTTTGAGACAGAGTTTCACAGTGTAGCCCAAACTAGCCTGGATCTCACCATCTTCTGGTTCAGGCTCCCAAATCCTGGGATTATAGGCATGCACCACCACACCAAGCCTATTCAAGATTTCTTTCTCAGCAAATTCATTATTGGTGTAGAGAAAAGTACTGATTTGTGTATGTTGCCTTTAACTCCTGCTACTTTCTTGGACTTGTTTATTATCTCTAACAGTTTTTTGATGAAGTCTTTAGTTTTCCATGTGTAGAATCATATAATATGAAGAGATAATTTCACTCCCTCCATTCCTATTTACATTCTTATATTTCCTTCTAATTGTTTTGGCTAAAGTTTCTAGTACTACATTTATAAAGAGTGGTGAGAGTGGACACTAGCTTATTCTTGATCTTAAAGGAAATGCTTTCAGCTTTCCATCATTTCGTATGCATCAGTTATGCTTTTGTCATAAATAGCATTAATTTTGTTCATGTCTGATCATTCCATATATAATTTTTCAAGGATTTTATCATGAAGGGATGTTGAAAATAAATCAGAACAACATACGAAAGTATTACATGAAAAATATGGTTTATTCTAAGAATGAAAGACATATTTACTATTTGAAAATATATTAATGCAATTCACCACTTTAACACAATAAATGATAAAATATTAATCTCTTCACCTCAATGTTTGTAGAAAAGTATTTTAAAAATCAATATTTTTGGTAAAATTTCTATGAAAATCTTAAAGCTGACATTACGCTTCATTGTAGAATATTTCCCTTTCCCCTAATGTATTCACTCTTACTGACTATATACAGCTGTGTACTAGAGGTCAATCCAGCCAGTAATGCAAGAAAAAGATACAAAAGTAATAATGATTTGAAAGGAATGACAAAAATTATTCATTCTTAGATGACATGACTGAGCACCTTGAAAATCTTACTAAGTATACAAAAGAAGCCACTAGAATTAATAAGTGGATTTAGCAAGATCTCAGGTTATAATAGATAGATAGATAGTTAATATATCAATCTAATCATTATTCTTTACCTCAGTAACAAAGAATAAGAAGTGGAATTCTTAAATGTCAATTTCAATAGCATTAAAAAAATGAAACACAATTAAATTTAAAAAGAAGATTGAAACTATATTGTAAATAGGATTGTTTCCCTGATTTCTTTCTCAGTCTGTTTTAAGTGGTATTTTACACATAAAACTACAAATGTAATACATAAAAAATAAAGAAATCCTAAACAAACTGTGTTGTACATGATATTTATGAATATAAATATTCATGTAAAAGCATCTGAATTCCCAAATGTATCAATATATTCATTAAAATTTGAACAGGCTTTGCTGTAGAAATTGATAAGTAATTCCAGATTCTATA